TGTAGCCGACCCCACGTAGTGGGATAAAGGCTTGTTAATGTTTTTGTTGTTGTTGTTATAGATGAAATCTATAATCATGCCAGGACGGCTTGGGCTCTGTAAAAATTTCATCCAAATGAAATACAAATCGTCCAAGGATGAATTCTTCTCTGTAAAAATTTCATTTAGATGAAATTCATTATCCTGCCAGGACGAGTTACTCTCTATAAAAATTTCATCCGGACGAACTCCTGTTCTTCTCAGGATGATATGAACCGACTTACCACAATTGGTTACGTCTTACAGTTATTAAGGAACTGACTTATGGTATAACTGATCGTACCGGATGAACTTAGTTCGTATGGGACGATGATCGTGTACGATCATAGTTCGTACCAATATACATCAGAATCATTTCCGACACTTTAAGTAAAATCGTCCAGGACGATCCACGATCATACGGGATGATTCATTTCGTGTTGACTTAAAAAATTTGCAGTTTTGGATGATTTTTCTTGTCTCTCCTATATATAGTCCAATTTAGACTATCACCCAATCTTTTTGTCATTTGATCTTCGTGCCTATTGAAAGAAGAGTCAAGGAGAGAGTGTGAGAGAGAATTCAAAGGAGGATTTCTACCATTGGAGCGTGAAGGATTCGCTTGGTGTTCAAAGGTAAGAATCTCAACTTGTGATTTGGGATTACTTCACTCTTTTCTTTTTTCCTTCTAGAATTCTTGTGAGAAGATCTGTCAAGGAGATCCGGTTCTCTGCCAACACTTGGAGAGTGTGAACAGCCGCGGGTTCTCTGCCCACACAAGGAGAGTGTGAAAGGATGAAGTATTCTCTGCCCACACTAGAAGAGTGTGGAAGGACGAAGGGTTCTCTGCCCACACTAGGAGAGTGTAAAAGGACAGACGGTTCTCTGCCAATACTAGGGATAAGTGTAAAAGGAAGACGGTTCTCTGCCGCATCGGGTAGTAGTGGAAAGAGTTTTTGTAAAGGCTTCTCCACCTTGCTGTGGGTGCTAAAGGTGAGTCACTAGTGGTATTAGTGCAATACTTGGAGGGTGCCTCTGGGGAGTGGATGTAGGTCTGGTTTTAACCGAACCACTATAAATCTGGTGTTCTTTACTTTTTCATTTTTTATTTTGTTTTATCATTTACAACTTGTGGTTGAAAAATATTTTTCTAAAAAATTCACTAACAATTAAGTTTTAATTTCCAAAGTTTAAAAAGAGGGTTTAAATTTTTTAATTACCAATTCACCCCCCTCTTGGTTAGTCACTAGGACATAGGCTTGGGTTTAACAACCTAATTCATTGTGAACTAATCTCAACAAGAAGCAGCTACAACCATGTTGGCTGAATATTCACTTCCAATATATTTTTGGGTTGAAGTGGTTTGTACGACTTATTATATTCTGAATAGGGTAAATATTAGATCTAAGTTGAACAAGATACTTTATGAATTTATTAAGGGGAGAACACCTAATTTTTTACATTTAGATGTCTTTGAATGCAAGGTGTTCATTCATAATAATAGTAAAACTCCTTTAAAAAAATTTAATCCTAAATCTATTGAAGGAATTTTTCTAGGATATTCTAGTGTTGGCAAATCCTATAGAGTTTTTAACAAGAGAACTTTTGTAGTTGAGGAGACCATATATATAGTTTTTGATGAATCTGGTATTATTGAAGAGCCAAGGTTGAATGAAGAATATATTGAAAACATCTCCCAAGAAATTGGAAAAATAAATCTTGAAGAGAATGTTGGAATAGATAATGCATTGCCTAGAGAATGGAAATTTTCTAAAAGTCATCTATAGAATTGATTTTAGGTGAACCAAGTGAAGGTTTTAGAACTAGGCGTGGACTTAATAAAGAAGTGAACTACTCTACCTTTATTTCAATGATTGAGCCCACTAATAGAAATCAAACACTTTTGATGAATTTTGGATTTTTGCCAAGCAAGAAGAATTGAATCAATTTTCCAGAAATGATATTTAGGAATTGATTGAAAGGCCTAATGATCAAAGTGTTGTTAGAACTAAGTGGGTGTTCAAAAATAAAATAAACGATTCATGTGTAGTGTTTAGAAATAAGATAAGATTGGTGGCCAAGGGATATAATCAAATAGAAGGAATTAATTTTGAAGAAACTTTTGCCCCTATAGCTAACCTTAGAGTGATAATGGGGTTACTAGCCTTTGCCTATTTTAAAGGTTTAAATTATTTCAAATGGATGTTAAGAGTGCCTTTCTTAATGGGTGATATAAGAGGATGTTTATGTTAAGTAACCTCCAAGTTTTGAAAATTTAAAATTTCCTGATCATGTATTTAAATTGAAATGTATTGTATGGACTAAAATAGGCACCTAGGGTTTGGTATAAGAGGCTAAGCACATTCCTACTAGAAAGATCATTTATTAAAGGAAGTGTGGACACCACTCTTTTCTTAAAAAAAGTATAGGAGATGACATACTCATTGTTCAAATATATATTGATGATATCTTATTTGGATCCAGTAATAAAAGTCTTTCTGATGATTTATCAAAATAATGAGTAGTGAATTTGAAATGAGTTTGGTGGGAGACTTAAGTTACTTTCCTGGTTTTAGCATAAAGTAGAAAGAAAATAGAATATTTCTTAGTCACTCGAAGTATATTAAGGACATCCTCAAGAAATATAAAATAGATAAAGCTAAACTAATGAGTACACTAATGAGTTCCTTAGTGTAGTTAGAGAAGGACTCTAAGAAAAAATCCGTTGATAAAAAAATTAGAGGAATAATTGAATCATTACTTTTCTTAACTGCTAGAAGATCAGATATCATATTTATTATTTATTTATGTACTAGATTTTAAGCTAATATAACTGAATCACATTTGACTGCTATTAAAAGAATTTTGAGATATCTTTTGAGAACTCAAAACTTAGGAATACAGTATCTAAGACATAGCTCTTCATTTAAAATTATTAGATATTCTGATTCAAATTTTAGAGGATGTAGGGTTGATTAGAAAATTACTTCTGAAACTTGTCAATTCATTGGAAACTCTTTAGTTTCCTAGTCTTGCAAAAAGTAGAATTCAATAGCTCTTTCTACTACTGAAGCTGAATAAATTGCCTTAGGTAGTTATGTGGCATAGGTTCTTTAGTTAAAAAAATAACTTATTGATTTAGGATTTTTAATTGGCACTATTCTAATTTTCTATGATAATACAAGTGCCATATACATTTTAAAGGATCTTATTCAACATTCTAGAACCAAGCATATATATATAAGGCATCTCTTTATTAGAGATCATGTGTCTAAAGCGAAAATTGAGCTACATCATGTAGCTACTGAAAATCAAATAGCAGACATTTTCACAAAACCAATTACTTTTAAAATGTTTAACACCTTAAGAACTAGATTGGGTGTGATTAATATTCATGCTTAACAATTATAATTTTGTAAATTGGATTTATAATGTATTTCATGCATGCTAATGTTTTTGGTTTGTTTTTTTTGTTTGTATTTCATTGATTTTTGATTGTTCCTTTATTTTGTGTTTGTTTTCCATTTGTATTATTTTTGTTTTCATCTTTGCATCTCGTAGATCTTAGTTGATTTGTTTTTGAAAAATAGTTTTATTTATCATATCTTAAGTTACTTTTTTCATTTGTACTGTACAAACCACTTTCGTATTGTACGAATTTA